CTCGTGGCTCCGCTCCCCTCCCGGTTTGTGCGATAATGCTGACAAACGATCTTTCTCCTCTCCGGAGACATTTCCCGCCACCACCGTGTTCTTAGTTTTAAAATGAAAGGGGTCGGTGAAAACCCAACTCCAGCCTGCACGTCTGATAAAACACCCGGACAATAAAAGGCAATCAGGCGCGATTCTGATCCTACATCAGCTTGGGATAATCCAGGTGACCGGCCGAGCGTGCACAGTACAGCACCGCCACCCCCACCCTCACCCCCTCCATCACCTCATCCACACTCAGTCACACCACTTTGTTCCAATGTACACAACACATTCCTTCACTTTTCAACATACAGCACACCATCCGTGCAACACTGTTCACCCCCAGCCCACCTGAGCAGCACCAAAAGCACCTCGCGGAGCCCGGCGACCTGTTGACTACGCCCGAACACCACGCCGGCACAATGAAGTGGTGTTCGTTCAGGATTAGCAGAAACATAAGGAAATATCTGAGCCAATTATTATCACCCGGACATAGGGCTGCACAATTAATCACGTTTTAATTGGGATTACAATTTTAGCAGCCACAATTATCATTGTCAGCAATATTGACGTTTCAAATGCCTTCCTCAACCAACAGTCAGTAACCACCAGGTGGAGAGCAAGATGGGAGGAGTCATAATCGTGATCTCATTATTGATAAAAACAACTGTGGTCATGATGTTGGCCTCTATCCTGCAGCTCTACTCCGACAGCACTCCTCATGCAGACATCATGCCATCTCACCCACACACTGCATTCTTCAGTTAACGATACGCTGTTACATATTATCATACATGATACTCCTACAAACTAACACGATACCAACGTAAGACCAAAACAAAACCTCTGGTGTGCCTCATCACAGGCCGCTGCCTCGCCTTGGCACACGTTTATTTCAAATCCATTTTGAATCCCTGATGGTCGGCCTCATGTTTCTCAACAATAACTACACTTTTATTCCCCCGATTACTCAACGATTGGATACACCAGACATGGTGTCACCACAGTGAGGAACAGAAGCTGCTTCTCTTTAGGAGCCTCGGCCTCAGTCAGTTGGAGGAGCAGCTTGTTTTTTCTTTGGGGGGGGTTGGAGAAAAAAAGAGACTACTGTGTGCACCAAATGCCTTCCGCCCCCGGTGGGCTCACGCCGTCTTCCCTCAAATTAGCAGTCATTTCAATTGGGTTCAATGGTAATTATCTGACTGACTGGACAGCTCCTTTAGCGGCTATTTCTCATTTATTTACTGCGGTTTGCTGTAATTTTCCGGTCTCTTTTCTCTCATTTTTTATTTCAGAACGTGCCGACTGAAAGACGACACTCCACCCTCGGCCTTCTGCAAACTTTTTGCTCTTGATGCCAAATATAAACAACTCTGTTTCAGCCATGTTTATGCTGCTCGCTCCTTATTATATCATCGTTGTTCTGCTCTTCACTCGTCCCATAATGTTTTCCGAAATGAATCGGGATCCCTCCCAGGATAAATCAGTCAGCGGTGCCTCTCATTGGAAGGTCCAATGCATGACCTGGCTGGTCACGATATCGTTTTATAACATTCTGTCACGATGAAAATGGTGGTGGTGCTCTGACTTGTATAACTACATGTTGGGTTGGGAAGTGGGAATTCCAGATTCCTGCCCTTTCTGTGGGAAGTGCAATGTGATGACAAAAGTTTGGCAGAACCTCGTTATTGTTCTCATGCCAAGATCTCCGGGTACCTGGTCCGATGCCATCACAGGACGCCGTGCTGGCTCAGCATCTGCGTGTGATGACCCCAAAAGTGACCCACCGGGGCGGGAAGAAAGGGACACATTTAAAAAGTGAAGATCTGCTGAAAGGCGGGCGAGCAGGAGAGAGCTGGTGCTTGTTTGTCATGCGACTCACCCCTCCCATCATCTTGGCTAGTGCCCTATTGTTGTTGATATGGCCCCATGTGTCTGGAATAAAGCTTAATTGTTGCCATGGTGACCGTCTTACTTATCTCCGCCGGCCACCATATAAATCATGCTGAGTCATTTCGAGTGTTCAGGAGTGCGCTGTGACCAAATCCAATCATCGCCAAAAGAATAAAGAAGCAATTCTATGTTCATGTTAAATTGTATCGGTATTTGTGATCGGAGGAATCCAGACACACACACACACACACGTATGCACACAACACACAACAACTAACTTATGTTCTCTTTATCACAGACCTAAGCTCATCCGCAAGTATGCAATAAGGTCAGAGGCCTGTGTGTGTGTGTGACTTATTTAAAGGCAGGGTGGAACACCTGAATATCAACCTTCCCTCTGCTTTTCATTATCCTAACTTCCATCGCTCCATTTGGCTGTGAGGGGTCAGACATGCAGGATACAGCTGAGTCGGCATGGATGACGTGAGGAGGGCGCTGTGTCAATGAACGGGCCGGTGAAGGATTCCTCAGCTGCCAGCTCACTGCAGGTCAACTGTATGACTCCCTATCACACACACACACACACACACCTCACACAGCGGATTGTGTGGGAGTAAAAAGCCCCGCTACCGTTGTGTCTCTATTAGCGTGGGCATGGGGGCATGAGCCCCCGTAAGCCTGTGCGTTAAAACGCTGGTGGGAGGGGAGACGATAATGAGAAGACACGCCATTGAAATGAAAACAGCTGGAAAATAATCACCTCAAATAAATTAGCTCTGCTCAAAAGTGACCTGTAATCAAATGTATGAATAAACATATTGCGGCCTGTGAGAACACGTGGGCGTAGAATAAAGAATGCGATCTATTGATCTCGCGCGCTGCGTTTCAGCACCCTGGACAGCACACATGCACGAACCCGCTGCACACAACCACCCCGCTATCCCTCTGAGAGCGCCTTATTATTCCTCATGAATAATGAGGCATTACATCGCTTATTAGATGTGGGAAGTTTATGATGATGCATATAGAATTATTTAAAAAAAAAACTAATTTGGACGATGATTGTCGTGGCAACAGAAGAAGCTTTGAAGTATCTCTCCACTGCTCTTATATTTTCTTGTCTAAATTCTCAACCAATAGAGTGCCAGAGGCAGATCTGACCAATAGAATAACCTGACTGGGAGTTTCTTTTTAAACTGGTTCATCCCCTTCCGGGTTCATTACATAGTTGGCCGTGATGCTTTTGATGGACACTGACCCGTCTTTACGTTCAATCTAGAATATTAGCCTTCGTTAGTAAATAGCATTGGTATTAAGTGGAAAGAAAATACTTCACAATTGCTTTTGTTAGGCAATAAGGGAATCAAATCAAATATATTTAATGGATCATTGGTTTATTGTTGCCACTTTAAGTCATCGTTTCATAAGCAAAAGTATTGATGAAGCTACAAAATTCTTGGCGTCCTGTCTCCTACATTATTTCCCAGGTGAAACCAGTCTTGTGGGACGTGTATGTGCCTTCTTTGAAATGATATCACGCCAGTCACAAGGCAAGTGTCTGTGCGGCAGTTTGTTTTGTGAGTGACAGTGGTCCCACTCACCTGTAGCATTGAGGAGAGCTATACACATGTCTAATTTAGTTTGTAATAAACACAGTTCAAGCTGAATTATGACTTATTTGACTTTATGATACAGGCTTCGACCGGCTTACAATAACTCAATAGATCTGCCCATGAAATTCATTTAGATTTAGCTAAAATGTTTTAGTTATGAGATACAGGCTTACTAGAAATATTTTGGTTAATAACATTAAAACTGTGATATTTACTATTATAATAAGCATCTTTAATTGGAAGCTTTTCTTCACGCACTGACCCCCCGATTTTAATGTACAGTTCAAGCAAAGAAATCAGTGAAATACCGTCAATCCAAATAAACTTTGCTACAATATTTGACTTATTTTATGTGTTTTTGTGTATTAACGCGACAAAGAGTGGCAAATATATTAATAAGAGAATCCCAATAGTTGGTCACTAGTTATTCAAATCTACAACTTTTGCACCATTATATAATTCACTCTGTGAATCACCTTTTTTAAAAAGCTCAAATTCCAGAGTTGCTGTGTGGAGTTTATGAGCCAGAAACACTGTCCAAACCCTCATTCTTAAACTCATAGCTCACCACAAAAGTCCCGGTCCTGAAAATAGACGGAAGAAATATTCCTGCCTTTATAAACAGACGCCGTCCAAATAAAGATGTTTTCTCTGGGTCCATTATGTTATGTTACATTACTGTTGTCAGGGATTAAGGAGCTGCTATATTTGCCAGAGAAATCCGCACTCATTTGTGCTTCTTATAAAGAGGTGACACTTACAACTGCAAATACACATGTAGAGAGACTACAGTGAGCTCACCTCACTACCCTGCACCTGTATTAACAATCTGATTCGGACTGGTGAGATCAAATTAGCCAACGGAGCTGACAGCCGCCGCAGTGAGCCGGCCGTGGGAGAGTGGGAGCCCTAACAAGCATTCTGTGGTGTGGTCCATGTTCATTTGATTCACCAAATTCTGTGACGATGAATAAGCTGAAATCTACAATAACTACACAAAAATAGACACACAGGTATCTGTTCGAAGTGCAGCAAGGGATCAGGAATGTGTTTCCTAAATGTCATTCAGGTGGTACATAGAGAATCAGGAATCCAGCGTATCCATCCACTCGTCCATTCATCCGTCCATCTGTCCATTCATCAATCCATCCATCCATTTGTCCATCCATCTGTCGATTGATTAATCCATCCATCCAACCATCAACCTGTCTATTCCTCAATCTGTCCATCAATCCATCAATGCATCCAACCATCCGTTTGTCTATCTGTCCATTCATCAATCCATCCATCCATTGGTCCATCCATTTGTCGATTGATTAATCCATCCATCCAAACATCAACCTGTCTATTCATCAGTCCATCCATCCATCCATTTGGTTCCATCTGTTCATCAATTAATCCATCCATCCATTCATCTGTTTATCAGTCCATTCATCCATCCATCCATCCATCCATTTTTAGTACCTGGATCGAGGGAAGTGAAAGGAAGATGAAGACAGCCCTCCAGAAGACCAATGACTCCATCTTCAACAGGAATTTCCCCAAATCTCTCTTCAAGCTTCCACCTGCGTACAGGACGTAGTGACATGAAGTTCAAACGTTCCTGCACTTGTTGACTGTGATTCCATGACACAGCTTAGTCAGTCGAGACTCTGGAACCATTAGTACATGATTTTAGGCATCATCACTTATGGCGACCTATTCTACAGTAAGGAGTGAATTGAATATGATGAACAACACAGGAAGAAATCACAATGCATGAAACAGTAACAGAATATAAGAGTTCTTACTGTGAAATGTGAAATATATTATATGTTTTTCTAGCGCCGCCTGTTGTAACCCGCTAACATCCGGCTCCAGTTACACTGCGCATGTCCCACAACCCAAAGCTTTTCCTTTAAGCCCCCCACCCAGCCTCATTCTCGGCTCACTTACACGAGCAAAGGAAACAACTCAGGATTTGTTCATATGTTCAAACTGGGAAGATTTATCTAAAATAAATACTGCATGTCTCTTTCTCAGTGTAATGTATAGGGGAAATTCTTTTCAGGCCCAAAGGCATCACAGAACAAACCTCGAAATTGTCATTTCACCTTTTGGGCACTATGCTAAAGTTGCTTCCAACTCCTGGGAACTTCAAACAAGGTAACATACATGTGTAGCCTCCCAGATCAGCTGGGTGTCCTTCCTTCGCATATGATGTCACACTGTGATTGGCTCTATGTGGGAGTAAACCCATTCACTGCGTGCGTTTAGAACTCATTATTTTTTACTGGGCTACCAGTAACGGACAACATATTCATTTCATATGCAATCCTATCAAATTTACTACTCAGATTTCGAGGCTGCCTATTTACTGTGTCGATTTTTTTAAATTGGCAGTTTTACTCAAATTGAAAGGAACCCAACGATTTGCTCTTGGAGGAAGCCGGCAGGCCTCTTGGCCTCTTGGCCTCCAGGCACCGCGCAGTCGGCCTGAACTCGCAGTCTCAGAAAATATAGCCGTATTTGTCAAAACACTTTTTGTTGTTCTGATACTTGCGTACTAAAAACTGTCACACCTGGCTCGTCTAGTTTATAGAGGCACTCGTCATAACTAAGCGAACATTAACATTTAGCACCTCTTGGAAAATCATCGGTGAGTTAGTTTACTCTAGTAAATATAGCGGATCATATTGTATGTAAAGGCCAATCAAAATGTATTTTGTATTTTTGGCCCCACTTTTACTTATTAATATTAAAACATGATACAAGAATATAACTCAATAGAGCTACAATGGTCTACAGGTGAAATTATTTTAGGTTTTCTGCATTTAGAAAACATTAGTCAAGCAGTTTGAAATGTCTTCATTATTTTTCGACGTTTTAAAAATGTAAAATTAAATCATTAATGAAACAAAACCAACAGAATAGTCGCAACTCCGTGTTCAGGTCTTCATTGATACACTATTATATTTAAGACTATCACTCGCGAGCAGCAGAAATCCACCTGCACGCACCAACACCGTGCGCGTCCCCCCCTCTCATCCCGCGTGGACCACGAAGCGTGCGCAAAGACCACGGCGACTTCCCAACTTTCGAAAGGCAAGTCGACGCCTCCCGCAACGGTGCGTGTTTGGCGGAATCCCGCGGATCCGCCGCCCGGGGAGTCGGCGGGGCGCGCGCGTGAAGACGACGAGGCTTCCGCGAGAGAAACAAACACCTTACCTTCTGAGGGGGGGGGGGGCTCCTGCTCCTGCGCTACCTATGCGCTCCTACGGAGATGCAACATCTGTTGTTCTCGACAGACGGTGCCGGTCTTCGCCGAGCCCCCGGTCCCGGTTCCCCCAAGCGTCCGCGGCGGGGAGGGAGGCGGAGATCGGGACGGCGGTGGTGTCGCAGGAGGCGAAGTGTCTTCAGGCTCCGGGCGGCGGACAACCCGTCAGCCTGCCGGACGCGCAACTTGCGGGCATGGGCAAGTCACACGCAGACACGCGGCTTCCGCCGGTACCTTTCAGAGTAAAACGCGTGGCAACCGAACGTGCTATGATACTATGAAACACGACAGGTTTGTGTCACAGCTCCAACCAGGGTGACATTAATCAGGAATCAGGAATCAGGAAACATTAGTTGGCCGTTAGTGCGCGACAGTAGACAAGACAGCAGTGCACAAGTAATAAAATAAAGTAAAATAAAATGCTAATGCAATGGGTTAGTAGAATAAGGCTATGGGTTAGTATAAAACAAGGGAATAAAGTTAAAAAAAAGTTAAAAAGAAAAATATTAGTGCACTAACGAACAATTAACAAACAAGTAACAAAGTGACGAGTGACGACAAAGTGATGAATTACAGTTAAAGTTAGGAAAGGAAAAATAATGACACTTCCGCTCATAGAAAAACAACGGCCCTGATCTTGATTTGAATTTAACTGGCTTTGAAATGGCTGCTCTACCGATTCCTATCAGCAAAGAAGCCTCTGTGAGTACAATGCTTCTTCCTTCTTAACTTCTCTGGGTGATTAGGAACGCGCTTTAACTCTGAAAGGATGCTCATCTCACTTCCGGCCGGACCCTCCTCTGTCTCTGGCAGCTTGATGAAGCGTTGCGTCGGCGATGCCCGTCCCCTGTCCCCCGTCCCCCGTCCCGTGTGGTGCTGAGGAGCAGCACACGTGGGTCCATGCGCGTGTAGTCGGTGTCACGGTGGCTTGTCTGCTCAGTCCAACACGTTTGTGAATGTTCATGTCCGACCTGCACTAAAGCCGCATGGACCGTTGCACCGGTAACGTGATACGTCTTTGTCGAGTTGCATCTAAATAAATGTTAAAAATGAAATGGAAGTCGCTTTGGATAAAAGCGTCAGCTAAATATGTGTGATCAATACTATGAGGATTGAAGTCGTGGTATCGAAGGCCGGCCAACCTAGTCCCTCAGATTGTGTGTCAATGTGGTCATTTTAACAATTGTAACTTTGTTTTGCCCGGTTTTATTATCCGAGCCCTCGAACCAATATGTAGTTTTAAGGCCTTAATGGGATATTTAGGATGTCCATGCAGGGTTGAGCCATACATCCCTCATTGTGTGCTCCACTAGCTGAAGAAGCTGAATCCTTTGAACCAGTGGCGTCATGGACCAGGACGCATTGCTCAGGAGGCCCCTGACACCCGGAGGGAACCTGCTGAACTCCTCCACCCAATTCTGAGCTCCATCAAAAAAGGCATCAGTGACGTTCATGAAGGGAATTATATGGATAAACATCTCAAGTCCGTCACAAACATTCAACTGAAAGCGAACCCAATTCTTACTGAATAAGTAAGAAGGGGTCACACAGGCTACACAACGTTAACGTTTGCCCGACATTTGTTGCCTAGAAACCGTTTAGTGTTCACCAGGAACTAAACAAGTCAAGTTGTGTTGACGTAGAACCTTTAATGGATGCAGTATATTCAAGTCTGAATTAGTCATCTTTAACAAAAATCATCAGCCCACATGAAGTATTTATTTTCTTTATTCTAAGTAGAATGAATTACCCCTTTCAAGTTAAATATACATAAACATGTATACAACAACTCACGACTATAACTTTTATTGCCAAGTAATCAGTTCATGTAAGTATTGCCTTTGCATTGTCACGTTCCGTAACAACATCTTTTACAATAACAATAACCCATTCGTATTCCACTCCAACAGAATTTATTTAGTCAAGAGAAAAAAATTAAAAATTAAATTATGTCGCGGCTGTCTGTAACAATATCTTAGTTATTTTTGCTGATACACAAATCCTCTCATAGTGTGAATTTGTCTTTCTCCCATGTTGTCCCATCTTCCCCTGTGGTTTCCCAGCATGCCTCTGTGTTCCGTCCACAGTTAGTGGAGCTCCCCCTTGTGTACACGGAGAGTTATTTTTCCATTTTACAGTCAAGGATGACTGCACAGCAAGAGATCAAAAACTCATTGCCTTAACGTCAAGATTTGAGTATTTAGTGAGGAAGTAACGAAGCAGCTTGCTGGTAAGCGGTAAAATGATCTTTACGGTACATGAAGGGAAGGTTTCCTCACTTGTCATGTCAGTGCAGACAATCGACTGCAAGGTGCCGGCGGTGTTCACTGGCACAACATTACTCATAAGAAACTTACAAAGCAGGATTCAAGCCTAGTTGATCAATTGGCAGTCAGCTGTAGGACAAACCTCCATCTCCACCCTCTGCCAGTAGACTGCAGGTTCCTCCTCCACCTGCAGACAGTTGCAGGCCTAACCAGCTGCGCTGCATAGATGCTGGGTCACTTGTGGCTCCTAGAATTTTAAAAAGTAGGATGGGAGCCAGAGACAACTGGAACCAGCTTCCACTTTCAGTCCGGGGGGCAGATTCGGTCAGCTCATTTAAGATAAAGCTTAAAACGTTCCTCTTTGATTCTGCCCATAGTTAGGGCTGGCTCAGGTTAAACTGGACCGGCCCTTAGTTAAGCTGCTACAGGCTTAGACTGCCGGGGGACTTCTTAGGACACACCGAGCTCCTCTCTCACGCTCTCCTTCTACAATAATCCACGTTTTATTAATGCACATCACTAATTCAGCTTCTTTCCCGGAGTTTTTTTGTGCTTTCTCGCCTCGCAGGTGTCTGCAGATCGTAGTTCCGTCTGGTCCTGACTCCTGCCTGCCGCCGCGGACGCCTACTGCTTCTAACATTGATATTCCCATTTGTATTGCTGGCAACATTAATGCGCTGAGTGAGTATTTGTACTTTCTTGCCACACAAGTTTCCATGAATCATGGTTCAATCTGGACCCTGTTCCTGCCTCCTTCTGTGGCGCCGCTGACACATGCTACATCATCATCATCACTGATACTAATATATAAATATTAATCATATTACTGTCAGCATAAACCAACATCACCCTTTCCTAAAGTATCTGTGCTCTCCCTCCCCACAGGCTTCTGTGGATGGTGGTTCTATCTGATGTGGTTCTGTCGCATGTGTACAGACTGTAAAGCCCTCTGAGGCAAATTTGAATTGAATTGAATTAAAGAAACGAGGCCCGTGTGAAAGAGAAGAATGAGCTGCAAATCCTCACAAGGTACAGTACCAGTAGAGAGGGACACATTACATATTCTAGTGCTTTGTTGACAATAACATGGATATATAGTATGGCCCGTCTTGTCCTCATTGTAACTTACAACACGGTTTACGTGGGAGTTTTAAAATAAAATGCAGAAACAGCTGAGGGCTGTGTGTGTGTGTGTGTGTGTGTGTGTGTGTGTTGGCTGCCCACACACACACACACCACACACACCACATACACACTACGGTTTTTATTACGAGGTGAAGAATAGAAGCTGGCAGTGTTTGGAGGGACAGGTTTGGACTTTGACTAATGAATAAATACTTGTGGGTCAGCCACTGGGCAACACTGTGCACTACGGAGACCTACTGCACTGAAGGACCGGTTTACACTGATATGTGGTGCAGGTATTAGTGTATAGACCATATGTCTCAATAACCAGTCACTGCACATGATAGAATCAACACTCAGTCAGTAATGATCCCTTACTGTATATGAACACGTGAATGCTATATCGTACAAGATGATTTATTCTGAAGTGAAGCCGTGTGAGATCTCCGTCCCACCTTTCATGTAAACGTGTGCAGCAGCATTTTGAGACAAATTTGGGATTCATAAGGAGATGATGCTCTTAATAACAGGGTTGCATTATTACAGGCCAGATTGGGTATCCCTAACTCTTTCTGTTTTGTAAACACTTTTTGTCAACCTAAATGTAGTGTGTTACGTTTGTATTCAACATGAGGGGTGAAAAACATTAAGTTTTAAACATTGGGGGGAAAAAATTGTAGTCTCATGATCAGCCACCGGTTTATAGAAAGGCGTATCTATCAGCTGATGCCCTGCAGGAATCCCCTCAAGTCAAGCTAGACTCAGTGATAATAAAGAAAATAACGGAAGCTGTACAGTTTTGCCTTCAAAGTAAAGGTCGTCTTGGGAAAAAACATGTTCCAAAATTTAGAACTACATAACTTTTTATAACCGTTTACTTTGTAGAATTGCACTTTGATATGTACTTAAGTGAACATGTAGTCCACCCTTGATGCTTTTTTAAAATGTTCTTCCTTTTCAGTTGACACATTATTTTACTTAGTCTGTTCCATTTTAAATTGATTACCAAGAAATAATAATAATATTCATAATATTTCTCCCCATAAGGGCAAGACAAGATTTTTTTAGATTTGTTGTTAACTAAATGATAATTTACTGGTTTTATCTATCTTAAATGTTCAAATAACAGAAGAAGCATTTTATTTATACATACAGGCAGGAGTGCAGATCAAAAGCACAATATATATATACAGTATGTACCAAAGGCGATTACTCGTGAAAATTGAATTTCTTCTTCTTCATACGTAAAATAACATTACATTTAACATACTACAATGACCCACAACTATTCGTTTTATATTATGTTTTATTTGCAATAGTTATCTCTAACTATCCAATCTTATAGATCACGTATCACTTTGCAATTGTATTATAAAGTGTTTTATGTGTTTTATGGTCACTGGATTTGAATAAATGAATATGTAGGCTACTTGGAAAACAATGTACGTCTATAGTTCAGGTAGTTTGGAAGACGTTCAAAGATTCGCTCTTCGCGGATCTTGTAAAAACACAGATTCCCCTCTGTAACCATAGTGACGTAAACAAGCAAACAAACTGTTTACTAAAACCCATGACGATTGTATTTGGACCAAAAACATCATTAAAGTAGACAATACTAATCTCTGTAAGTTACAATAAGGATGTTTTGGAAACAAAATACAATATGACTCGTTCCAAAAACCCAACTTGTCAATTCCGTATTCTTTTGAAAATCTCTGTCCGGAAATGAGCGCGTGTTTTCCGTCGCTTGGCGCTGCTGGTGGCGCCTGTCACGCTGTCAGTGCGTCAACTCATCACATATGATTACTTCCAGCTGCGCGCCTTGTACGCGCAGAGAAAGGAGCCCCATAACAAGCAGGGACCACCGGGACCAGGCTCCTCACTTGCCGCGGTGACCGGAGACTATTCCCGGAGAGCTTCCACGTGACCGCTGCGCTTCCTCCGTTAATGCGGCGTTAGGAACGCGACGCCGCTGCGGCCCACCGTTTCCTTCCAGAAGCGACGGGACTGTATGAGCAACCGGCCGCAAATCGTCCCTCCAGAGCGTCCAGCCCACCCGGCCGCCACCATGGCCTCCGCCACCTCGACCCCCGCTGCCGGCCCCGGCGGGCGGGCCAGCCGCGCCGGCCGCTCCGCCGCCGGCCGCCGCGTCGCGACGCCCAGCCCGGCCGCATCCGGCACCAGCCCGAACCGCATGTACCGCATCCAGGAGAAGGATGAGCTGCGGTGCCTCAACGACCGCCTCGCCAACTACATCCAGCGGGTCCAGGAGCTGGAGAGCGAGCGGTCCTCCATGTTGTTTCAGCTGGAAGAACAAGATGATTCCAAAAGCCGAGAGATGGGGAACGTCCGGCGGCTGTACGAGGAGGAGCTGGCCGATGTCCGCTCTTCCCTGGACGGCATAGCCGGCGAGAGGGCCCGTTTACAGATCGACTACGGAAACCTCCACGAGGAGTACCAGAAACTTCAAACCAGGTAGTTGGCCTCGCATCCGTCCATCCACGCACCTGCCGGGGAATTTGCTTAATAAGGGGCTCGTTTAATGCGATCCAGCCCCGCGTTTGGCGCACGAACCGGCGCGTCACGGGCGGAGACATTTGGACATGTCCGCCCGGTTTGGAGTTTCATCCTCCTTGCGGCAGGTGTCTCCTTTGTTTGTAGTCGTGTTCCTGCTTCAAACTGCATCCCTGCACTCCGTGGTGTTCTCCTAGAATGGAAACATCCCAAAATGTGCATTGGTCTGATAGTTGATGACTTTAGAAATGAGCACCCAGCAGATGTTTTAGTCAGCTGCCTCTTTTCTTTTTTCAATGTTTTTGTCTTTTCCATCAAATGGCTGTGCAGAAAGACTGCAAAATTCACGCAAGAGGTAATTTTATTTATTGTATGGTCCAATGCTGTGGAGGTCTAGTTTAATATTTGGCTTATAACCGTATACGATTGATATAATCCTTAATTGCTGAATTCTATATTGAAGAGACCTCTGTGTTGGGTAGTGCCCTGTATGTGTGACCGGAAGCAAGGCCGCATTACAGATTAAGGTTTACCGGTAGTTCACGTTAACTGAACAACCGGTTTGTTTGTCTCTGATGTCCGATCCCCCGCTTAGGAACCAGAAGAAGGAGAGCGAACTGGCGAACGCGTTGGCCCAGTGGAGGAAAGTTGAAGCCACTCTGAGTGCCAAAGATGCTGCGTTCACCAAGCTGCTGTCGGAGAACACGAGGCTCAACGACGACTTTGCTGAGCAGAAAAGCCAGCTGGAAAATGTATGAACTGAAGCTTTGGGTCTACACATGCGGAGTGAAATACATGGCGACTGGAGCAAACTATGTGCACGTTTGAGGTCTTTAAAGCCTCTACTTTTTAAGTCAAAGCTAAGATGAGAGCGGATTGAAATTCTGCACCTTTTTTTTCTCTGCAAAAAAAGGTGCTTCAACACTTCCTTTCTCATATTCTTTGGCATAATGGAAACTGGATGACAATTTATCTAAATTTGTAATAAGAATATGGACTTTTTTATATTTGATTTACCAAAAAACATACTCTTACATGAGTATATAGATAGATATTACTTGTGTTTAACTTTGGAAACCTTACTCTGCATCATTTACAAAAAGGGATAACTCCCTAAATTACTCGGGGCAGGTTAATTGCCTCAGCCATCGCTTTGTTGTGTGTCAAGCATTTTTTTTTTTTTTTTTTCACAGCACTGCAGTGATCTTTGAGCATTGTTGCCTTTACATCTTTCCGTTAAATTTATTTTGTACAGCTCAAAAAAACAAACGCATCACAGGGCTTTACAATGTGTGCAGAAAGGCACAAACGCTTTGGGAGAACGGATCCCTCCATCAGGGTGGACTAATGGATAACTGAGAAATGCAATATCTTTACTGCATATGAAAGCAATGATTCTGAAAAAGTACTAACAATAGCAGTAGATATAGTAGAATAAGAAAAGCAATAGTAATTTGACTAATATTTGGGGCAGTTGATGTTTGGTAGATCCTCTAACGGGACATAAATTCATACAGGAGGCCGAGGAGAGAAGCTCAGTGTATCCTATGAAGTCCGTTCAGCAGTACAGCAGCTTATCCAAGGGTTGGTCGAGCCAGCCCCAACGGTAAAACCTGAGCCAGCCCCAACGGTAAAACCTGAGCCAGCCCCAACGGAAGCGTTGTCAAAGAGGAAAGTACATACTCTTAAATGAGGCGTCTATACCCCCCCCCCCCCCCCCGCACTGAAACTAAAACCTAGTTCCTTGACCTAATCCCCTTTTCTAATTGCGTTCAAAGATCTGTGGTTGGCGCTAGACTCCAGACTGGCTGAACGTGACTTGGCATGAAGACTAAGTGGAAAGAAAGCGCTCGCCTGGTTCCGTTTCTTGCAAAGGGTGGAAATAAACAAACCAGACTTCTAGTGATGTCTGTTCAGGAGGGAAAAATAAGTCAATCAGACGAGTTGCCTTTACGAATTCACGCAGGCTCTTAGCAGGATGTAAAGCCATTAAAATGAACTATCAAGTAAATCAAGAGGGGTTGATTTCCTTCAGCTCAAAAGCCATGTTCTGCCTTGTGTTCAGATGTTATAAGTGTCTGGGGTGGCGTGTCTACAGGTAGAGGGCTCACTGGCAGCGACCAGGAACCAGCTGAACTCTGAGATCCTGAAGAGAGTGGACTTGGAGAACCAGGTGCAGACGCTCCGAGAACAGCTGGGGCTGGAGAGGAACATCAGTGAGCAGGTAGAAAGACACACAATGTGTGGAAATTGCCGACATTCACCTCCAACACAATTTTCCACAAATTCCTTTCCTGGATTCTGTTTTCCCACTAAACCCTGTGCTTTTATTGTTTTGAAGGAGATCCTGGAGATCCGCAACCGTCACGAGAGCCGCATAGTGGAGCTGGACTCGGGGCGGCGGAGAGAGTTTGACAGTAAACTGGCAGAGACGATGCAGCAACTCCGCCAGGAACACGAGTCTCAGGTGCAGCTCTACAAAGAAGAGATCGACAGGACCTTCAGCTCAAAGGTACTCGTGCTCAACTTGAGGCCTTCCCATTGCATTACTGAAAGTTTCTGCTTTTAAAATCTTGGTTTCCTTGCTACAGTTGCAGAATGCGCAGCAGGCCGCGCTGGAGAAGAACTGTGTCGCGTCGGCCATCCGAGAGGAACTGGAAACCACCAAGCTCCGAGTGGAGAGCCTCAGCTCTCAGCTGCAGCAGTACCAGAAAGATGTGAGTGAAGCCAAAACGTGCATGAACCCATCTTTTTAAAGGGGGTATATTTAACATTCCTCACATTGATTAAGCATCAAACTGCTAGTTTCTCAGTAAAGATGTAATGGCATCGTGAGGGGGAACGTACTCTCCACAACATATGTTAAATATTTGGATTTTACATTTTTGACCAAGTCCAATCTGGTTCAGTCTTGCAGCAACTGTTGTCGTACTATTAAATATTTAGGATCACAGATTGCTTCCAAAATGATCACCACAAGCAATGGCAGCCACCAACCCTTTTCCTGTTTTCTTTGATAACCTTTTTCTTACAGGGGATTTGTTCAGTTTCTTCTTTCTTGCTGCTGACATTTGTCGTCTTCTGTCAGAAAATGGTCCTGGAGAGCCGCCATCAGGAGCTGGAGAGGACTCTTGACGGGGAGCGAGAGGTTTGGCAGCAGAGACTCAGTCAGAAGGAGCATGAACTGCTGACTATGAGAAGCCAGATGTTCGCCCAGCTGGAGGACTACGAGAACCTGCTCGATGTCAAGCTAGCTCTGGACATGGAGATCAATGCCTACAGGAAGATGCTGGAGGTGGAGGAGCAGAGGTTTGGCTGTGATTCTCAAACCTAGCGTGGTAACATGGGATTTTCACCCCAGTTTATATAAATCCAAATGTAAATATCTTCCTCAGATTGCAGCTGTCGCCGAGCCCTTCCCAGCATGCAGCGATACCCCGAACTCACAAACACGGAACCCGTAAACTCGGCGGCAAGAAACGGAAACACGAGGGAGCGTCTGGCGTGTCGCCCGCCTCTAAAATGTCCAGTCGTTCAGCGCAGCACGGCGCTGTGAGCGTGGAAGAGGTCGACTGGGACGGAAAATATGTCCGACTGAAGAACAACTCTGAGACGGTAAAGCAGCTGCTTAATGGACACGTTTTGGGCTTTGACTTTCAGTATCAGGAATTAGTTTGTCCTAGTTTCACAGGGACGAGTCTCTAACTTTATTCTTTCACCACCACCATTTTTTGTTTTGTCAAATGTCTCCTTTATATTGTACTTTCGAAGTGTGCGTGTGTGTGTGTGTGTGTGTCTTATTTCTAATTATGTTTTAGAAGTCTTATCTTATTGGAACGTTCGTACTCCCACAGTTGGGCGTGAATATTTTAAGACTTGGTCCAGCACTCCAGTCTATTTGGGAACTTGACTGTCATTCTCTGTACACTTTCATTATATAGAAAGTGTATGCATGGATTTAGTGCGTATCTATTTTTGCATCACTCTGTAGAACATATTGACCAACTTTTGATAAATTGGAAGATTTGACACCGTTTAACGTTGAATTACACCTAATCATCAGGGATGAGGCCGGAGACGGTACCAAGTAAGCTGACCTTAAAGTTACACTTTGGACTGAATCGTTCTGAAAATCCAGCCCTACTTGAAATGATCGAAAGAGAAAGTGAGTTGTAGAGCACAAAATTTGATGCCACCTCAAATGAACTGTATTGTCCAGGAGAAGCCGCTGGGTGGTTGGATGATACGAAAGATGTGCCCAGACTCTGAGGACCTCTCCTTCCACATCCCCTCCTCCTGCACCCTCGCCGGTGGGCAGACACTCACAGTGAGTTGTTGCTAGTCATTGAAGTGTACTTTAACACGCCCGTACGGTTAGTTCAGCAGTTTAATGTGTTCGGTCAGATCTGGGCTGCAGGTGCAGAGACGGAGGCTGATTCTGGGGACCTGGTTCTGCAGGACCACAGAAGCTGGGGCCCGTTCACTCATGTGAGGGTGGTTCTTCTGGACCCGAACCATACGGTGTGTGTGTGTGGAGAGTTTGTTTATAACGTGCTTTGTCAATCTCATCCAAATCCAAAGGGATGCCGTTAACTATGGACACGTCTAAGGGATGTAAACAATCCCATGACTTGGTCCTGTGTGGATGGTAGAACAAATCCTCAACGGTCCAGGCTAAACTTGATTGGTAAATCTACTCAGGCGGCCACTGATAGACGTATTAGGTTTTTTTTAATGGCCGCATGCTTTATTGTCCATGCATTGCCTTTAAAAGATGTCATGGCGCAAAGAACTTCAATAAAGTCCCAATCAGCATATTCATCAAGATGTTAAATATATTTAGTCTAACATTTAGCTGGATGGGAACGTGATCAAATGTTTAACTCCATGTGATCCCTTTCCAGGAAATGGCGGAGCACCGGGTGTGCATGCAGGACGGGGGTCAGGAAACAGAACCGGACTTTGATGAAGAATATGTCACGGGCAGTGACGTCCAGCGCTTTCGGAGACAGGTAGAGACACTGACTCCTAAACAAAGTGCGACGCGCTCCGACGGGAACAAGTGCTTTGGTGCGTGAAACCTGACGTCTGTTTTGTTCTGCCTACGCTGCAACCAAAGCGGAAGAAGAAGAAGTGTTGTTCTGTCTCTTGAGTGACAGCGTGCTGCACGGGTGAGGAGGGCTGAGCGGCCAAACGGAGGCTTTCCCAGCCGCGCCTCTGCTTGTACCCGCTGTGCATGGCTGTGCATGTCGATGCGTGGATTGAAGTGGTGGTCCATCCAGCCCGCGTTCACATGCTCATTAGTGTCCCAGTTGTCCCCTCATTTGTGTCTATGTGGAACATGAGACAATCAAGAACCAGGATTTAATGACGTGGGCCAAATGGTACAAAGTTTATTAAATGAAGCCTAACCAGGATGATGGTCTGCTTTAAGTGTGTGAGGAACTCTGCTTGAACAATTAAGAGTTAAAACCCAACATTCTAGTTTGTTTTAATGATTGTAGTGAAGCGTTGTTCTTTATGGACATATTTACATTAATCCGGTTTTTCACTTTCTTCTTTCAATTTCTGTCAAATTTTGGGATCAATCAAGTTGAAGTATGCGTAATGAATTTATACTACGTAGGCATAATGGCCAAATGCCTACTGGGCTTATTTATCAGGAAGTCATTCTTTCAAACCGAACACGCGTTATGAAGCAGGCAAAATCCAAGTTATGATTTATGTTGTAAGTCAAACTGTCTCAGCCAGCCAATGGTCTTGGCCCTCATGCATTGGTACTCAATCAAACATTATTTCAGACTCCAGGTCCAGAGTACTGTGTGCACACAGCAAAGCGTGCTAATATTGCAGTGAGGAGGCTGCGGGTCAGTCACTGAAAATCTAAAACTGCCTTGAATGCAGATATTTAGATTTTGACAACTTGATGACTGACGTACCTTTTTTCTTTAGACCGATATTAGAAAGTTTTATTTATTTGCACAAATGAGTAAAATATATACACTGCATGTAACTCACTCTTTTGACTAATTTAATGTTTTATTTGAATGTCCCTTTAACTTCTGAAAGCTGTGATCCTTATTTGCATTGTTAAGCAGTTTCCAAATGCCTGAGAACTTAACATACCGTAATCCTTCAATTAAAAGGGATCCATCCAAATCCCCATATCTGGCTTTCCAGCATGTTTCACGTTCATGCCGTCCCCTCGCTGCATGTTCAGCACTAACTGACTGTTTGAGACCAGCACGTTTCCTGTGGTAATCATTACATGATAATGCTGCTGTTAATTTACTTTACTTTTTTTTTTTTCTTTTTTTTTTTTTTTTTTCAGGACCTGACTAAGGAGGGCAGCTGTGCCGTCATGTGATGCTTTGACCTCTGGAGAACAGACGTAGTCGGCGTTCCTCACTTGTTTCATGGCTCTTACTGCACAAGACAAGAACTTTGCCTTGATTTTAAATGTGTGTGTGAAATAAAACTGTTAGAATAATAAAGTTGTGTACATATGGTGAACTCCTGCACCATGGCGCTAAGTATTAAAGACTGTTCATTACAGTAAAGCTGTGTTCTTGGATGTCTTCAGGAAGGAAAATGAATTTCATAACGTCTAAACAACATTTCAGTAGCATGACTTTAAGGGATGGTTGACACATGACCAAAATAATTTCTCATGATTTCCATTCAACTCAAATACAATCTTTACAAAACATTACCCTATTTTCTTATGATACAGCTGACCCATCTGCCAGTAACGTAAAATGTGCGATGTTGGAGAAAGACGGCATGAAGGCTGATCATAAGTTTGACTAGTCCAGCATTTTAGTAAGACAGTGAACATGGTCTGCTGAATAGTTGCGTACAGCAATGCCAACGTGGCTGCAGACTGAATAAAGATGCTGCCTCTGCTTCTCTTGGCAGGCTTCCTGTCCTTTAATCACTATTACATTACCCTGATTCCTCCCCCCGAGACCGCAAACCTAGCAGGGCTGCTGACCGCGGTTTAAATCCATACCTTGTTTAACCCATTTATCATGTGGCTGTACACCATTACATCCATGAACGGGCATATACCTGTACACACAGCTTTAGGTATCTGGATTGCCGACCTAAACTAAGACGACACTTTTCCGTGGCGGGCCTGGATCAGAACCTGTGATTCAAAAAGCCTCTAAAATTTAGGTCTAAATGTCGTTTATAGAACAATTGGTAATCTCTTATGCCATGGGGAGGAAACAAACTGCATTGTCAATCCAAAGTGTTTTATCTCCTGGAAATTATGATTGTCACTGTAAAAAAAAAAGTCAATAACCATGATTTCTCTTCTGATTCGGAAGGACTGACAAGATCAAGAGTTTTCCTCGCCCGCAGACGCACTCAAAGGTTTTGCGATGTCTTAAATTTGATGCCGTAATTGTTCTAGCAGAAGGTGACAATCCCTCAGGATTAGTCCAGTCTTTGGCTGCGTCGCCCTCCTCGTCGTGTTGACGGTCTACACCATGGTCTCTTTGTTGGTGCCTTTGCAGAAGGTGTTTATGGACCGGCTCTGTTGGGAAGGTCTGCTGTGGGCGAGTGAGGGAATCTGCAATCTCACCCTCTTGTTGGTCGTCTTCCACGTCTGGAACAAATTCATGTGATAGCGCACAGATACCTGAAACACAAACTAGCGTCACATTTCTGTACGGCTGGTAAAAGTATGTGGCTGCCAAGCATGCACTTCCACTCAGATTAAGTTTTCCATTTTTGTGATGTGATTATAATTTTCAGCTACTTCATCATTTGCCGGGTGTTTTTTGACTGGAAATAAAAAGGTGCTGCAGAGACCTTCTCACCAACATCCTTCTACACAAGGCTGGATTGCATTTAAATTTAAAGTGGTTTACAGAGAAAAATGATGCACTGACTGACAAGTAAAGACCCTGAACGCACCAGGGTCCAGAAGACATATATGCTGAAGAGGGCCAGCGTGAGGACCAGCAGCCCCAGGGCCTCCATGCTGTTGGTGTAGTAGAGCTCAGTGGCTCCCTGAACACACAGCCACCCCGACAGGCCGGCCAGTGGCGTAATGAAGAGGAAACACACGGCGTCGCCCCACAGCGTCCTCCTCTGCTGCTGCATGGACGGAGAACACAGCCACTGGGGGAGGGAGGGGGGTGGTGAAGGCTGGTTAAAAGCACGTTGTTAAAGAACAGCCCAAGAGCACACTGTGTTTGACCCCAATGTGGACCAGTAGACATCAGCTGGGTGGGAAGTGTGAGCAGGTCTTGTTTTATAATGTGGAGTATAAACATACATAATAATACGTGTTCATAGTCTACATTTACAGCATGCTACCAGACTGGATAGAAGTGGCACGTGGAAAGAGATATTTAGTTGGTGTTTGTGTGCAAAGCTGTGAGTAAGACATACCATTTTTAGAATGGTTTTTATATTTAATAAATAATAATACAGTTATTTGATTTTGCAGGAGATGAAGATTAATTATTTATACATTTGAAAGTCTTATTTTTGGGAAATGGGAATCACTATTATATTATTCATTAACTATATCATAACATTGCATGTATAACATTAGTATGTTATGGAGGAAAAACACATAGTTTCAATTATAATTAATGTAACTTACTTGATAACATGATTTAATTGCACAATAATATCAAACAGGTCCATAAACAAGATGGTGTAAATACTGACAAATAATTCCAGTCGGCTATTACAAGTAATCCATTCTGTCGTGGCGCAGGGGTAGAGAGGGTGTGCTGGGAACCGCAAGGTTGGTGATTCGGGCCCCGGCTGCCCCATGCTGAAGTGTCCCTGAGCAAGACACCTAACCCCTAATTGCTCCCAAGGCAAAAATGGCGTTTTTTTGGATAAAAGCGGCAGCTAAATGACCTGTAATGTAATGAGAAGAAACAGGTGTTTTCATGCCTCATTAAACTCGTGCTCCAGCAGACGGCGGGTGGAAGTAAGTTCATGTATAAAAGGTAAAGATGAAGGTGCGATCCAGACAGGACCATCTGCACACACTATTCGTTTGGATAGAAACGTCTACCACCCTTCAGAACAGACACATTCTGCTCCGTCACTAATGTAAAGTATTAATACATGTGTTTCTGTGTATCTGAGCGCTTGTGTCCCGCATTGGCTGACAGCCGGCCAATGCTCTTCTCTACTTAACCTGGTGGAGAGCATGGTGCCTAATCAGCAGATTACTGGCTGTAGAAGGACAACAAGGCCACCAATGCACTATCCTGCTCTGTGCAGCCAGGGAAGGACACACCGTCTAATCTGACTCTCAGGCTAAGTGGCTTTAGGGGTGCAAGAGGGATGTCCTCCAACCTGAACGCCCCACGGCTCCTCCAACTGACTCCTGCTGTCTCAGGACTACTGTATATCCTTGATTCCTCTCTATATTAATGACCGCAGCAGCACATAATGTTACAATCACACTACTTGAATTGATTGTGGGCTACATTCAATATAAAGCAGTCCTTAAGGAATGCGTGGGCGGGTTTTGATGTTCTGGTCCAAGCTCATTGTACACGGGCGGAGAAAGAAAAGGAAGGAGCTGTGCATAGCAACGGGCCTACCTCCGCGAGGGGCTTTGGCAGGCGCTCCAGTGCAAACTGGTGGTGGCAGAGTTCACAGTGGCTGCTGTTGGAGGCCGTGAGCCAGTGCTCCAGGCAGGCCCGGTGCACCATGGCCAGGCTACCGCAGCACTGGCAGGGGGATAGCAGCTCCCCCGAGGCCGTGCCCTCGTGGCAGATCCTGCAAAACGGCTCCTCCCTGCACGGACAAAGAGAAAGGGACCTCTGTCAACGTCTGTCACCTCCTCAGACGCTTCCATGTCAGTAATCCCTCACACACGCACGCAAGGCCTCCAATTTGTCTCACTTATATTGGGTCCGTTAAGAGTAAAAGATAATACTATCACCCTTAAATACTGATCCACAAATCCAAACACGTTCACTCAGGAGACCGCAGTGTGTGTCCTGTGTGGAGAAAGGTCAACGTTGATCTTGTTTACCTTTTGTACTAAACTGATTACGCAACAAACCAACCTAATTCACACAACATACTCATTTGAAACCAAACCCATTTCTGAATCATCGACCACTAAGCCCATTCGGTTTGAATTTGTGGAAATAAATATTAAGTATTACATAAACCAGCTCCGGCCCAATCTTCACTGGGTTCCCATCACACTGCTGGGTGACACCAAATCCCACACAGCGTCCCTTTACGACAGAACGCAGGCCGACTGTCACAGAGTCATTCTGCATTGGGATGCAGAGGTCTTTCCTTGAGAACACCTCCTGGGTTACCTGTCTGTGGTTGCTGTGCACTCCTGACCGGGCGTGTCTGTGTGGAAGTGTGTCACGTCTGGGCTGCAGCTGTTGAGTCCCTCCTCGGGCATTAATTTGACCTCCCCGACAGGGCCGGGGACCCATGGTGGGGGGGGATCCTCTGCTGTCATGTCTGCTCCATGAGGGGCCATTCGCTCATGCCACGAGCATGACTTCTGTGAACGGACATGACAGGTGCAGCAGGTCAGAATTCGATATCACACCACTTCAGGACGTACCAGAGTTTTATAAGGTCCGGTACCTGAATGAGCGTAGATTTGCATTGGCTGACTACCAATCTGCTGTATAGGCAGGAAACTGTGTGCTATCTATTGTGAAACGTGACAGAGGTAATATTGACATTGAGGGATAGTTATTTGGTGCATTTTGCCCCCTCCCATCATGTGATGGCTTCACTGCCGATGCTCAAAATAAGCATGACACTTTAGGATGGAATCAATATTTTGAAATTTGAGGAAAATTTTATTATTATTTATTTATTTGCTCAAAGGCTTATTTAAAGCCTTTGAGCACGAGCCTCTTTTATGGCCCCGGTTTCAAAAATGGAGATAAAAAAGTGTAATAACGAACTAAGAAAGACGAACGGCTGACTCATCATTTTTTATAAGTCGAGTTCAGATCGATTTGCGTCAACACTCTTTTGCATTGTTTACGCATAAAGGGAAGACACATTTATGATTTTTTCACTTCCATGGCTTGATGGGCTTTGTACTGGACGTTCGGCACGGTTTGAGTGAAATGATACTTATATCACCGTAATCAACGCGTCCAATGGTAATGTAGCAAAAAGCATCATAAAAATATGACATTTTTGGTCAGTCAAGTCCAACATTTCTGGACAAATCTGTATGGAATATGTTCTTACTCAAGTAGTTCACGGCTTATTGTAGCCAGGGCTCTGATGTTGAAAACAACGCTAACCGAGCGTAGCAATGAGCATGATTAAACCGGCTGTGCTTGGATTTCTATGTCTGCTTGGAAATTTCTAATTTATTTGCTGCGATGGTTGGGTGGTTATTTCGCGGTGACTTCGGCAGGCTTTGTCTGAGAGGAATAAAACAGACCACTGGAATCAGGGAAATCTGTGGATGCTATTTGGTGTGTTGTTTACCTTTGTATAGAATTCATTTGACAGACTGAAAAGGTGTACGCACATTTCTGTGACATTTCACTTAGTGTCACCTTCTTTTTGAGGGTGAGGAAATCGATGTGTGTGCTTACTAGATGGGGTTAGCCAAGCCTGACACATTGACAGCATGCAGAGGACAACACAATGCGCACACAGGACAAATGTAGAGTTAGTGGTTGTTATGTGTTTCAACAGTTCACCCTTCCAACTCGATTCTCTGAACAAAAGCAGCAACTCCCAGTTTCTCACTATCGTACTGCTCAACTGTCTCTGGGGAGATATTTCCCTCAACAGGTTATTGGGCATGGACATGTCCAAATGTTAGCCTTCATAATTATTATTCCATAGAGAGGTTAGAGATGGAGGTGTTCCAGATCCAATGCAATAAAATTAAAAATTAAAATAGACTTTCAAATTCTCATTGCCCTGAATTGTATTCTTATTCAGCAGCCCATCGTCAATCATTTCTGGAGAAAAGCTGACTTTTACTGAAAATATAACATTAATGACTTCAATGACTGAAAATTGTATTATTCCACAATGTAGATTGAAACTGGACATGGTACTCACCTCTGGCTAATCCAACAGAAAGGTCCCTCCTGCTCATAAAACAAACACCAGAGCTTCCGTTCTTCTACATTAGTGGTTTAAACCACAGGACTCACAGCACACAGTCGCCTCGAGTCCTCCTGCTGCTCACCATGCTTGAAATAAAATGCATGATATCAAGTGCTCTTCATGGCAAGATCCCTGTTTACCCCAAACGCAGCAGCCCGAGCCCCTGCAAAGCACTGATCCGTCTCAGAGCAGAGCCTATCACACGTACAATAAGCCAATGGGCGCCGGTCAACAAGCTGCTCTCCAACAGGCGGCTTACAGGCAGCCCGATGTCCACAAACACTCGCCGAAGGCGTGCACTCCCATACAGTAAACAGCAGCTTCCCGTCTGACCATCAGTCCGTGTGTGTGTGGAAGCTTCTCCTCCTAAAGCCTGCCTGCAGATTAGCGGCAGTGAGAATAGTGAGGGATTAGACGAAGGGGAATGCAAGAGCCGGGCCAAACAAATGGAAATCACACCAGGGTGAGTTTCACCGAGGGGAGCAGCACATCCCCACGTCGCCCCCTTAATCCTGTTAGGGGCCTTCAGAGCGAGCCTTTCTCTGGCCTCCAAGCTCTGGTGGAGCACCAGCCAGCGGGGGGAGGGAGGGGCCTCGGCTGTGTTGTGGCGGCCTCGTGTTGTTGTGTTTGACACATCTGTCCGGGGAGGAGGGAGGCCGTCGCTCTTTGGTGTGACAGCCCAACCAGCATCAGTATTGGCCAGATGGAAGTTTATGAGTAGAAATGGGTCCCTTAGTAGGCCGCAGTACACACACTGTGTCCACTTATACTCAGATCCACTTTTATGATTTTTGAATTGTGAATGCAATCAGCAGCAGAAAAATAGTCTGGCCACAAATAAACCACAGGGGCATTAGCAAACAACCCTTTTAAGACAAAAATTTGCCTGAAATGTAAGAGTAGCATTGTTTTTTTACGAAAAAACATTAAAATCCACAAAGCTTCTGTTAAACCACAAACTTGTAGGAGGCATAAAAAGGCTTGTCGTCCTCCTTGTTGTTATGATTATCAGTGCTGTAGGTGGTGGTAGCACAGTGCTCTCACTGCAGGGCCAGATCCGATCCCTAATAACCAGTTCAACCTCTTTATGTTAACAGACGCATGGAGACCATTTATAGGATTGATGGCGCAGCCCATTTACTTCTTTATTGAGTAGTTCTCTGATCTTCTCACCTTTATTAGGCCTTGTTTTGATACAGAGGAGATTGTAACTTTTCTCGTTCCCTTGGCTCTCCTTGTGTATGGGTGGAGCTTCTGGAAGCCGGTACACCTTAGTCTCTTCATCTGATCGACTGATGCGTAGTATCAACCCTGGCTAACCCTCAAAGTCAGCGTCACGGCTTTCCATCTACCAGGTTGGTAGCTACGTTACAGGCCTCAGGAGGGATTTTTCTGTAGTTTTATCTCCTGCTGTCAATCTACTGCTCTGGATTCCCGGCCTCTTGCTTCTCTGCTCACTCCCAGCTGACAAACTCTTGTTACCTCAAATTCGGCCCCTGGATCGGCCCCAAGAACACTCAGCCTCAGGCTAGCTCGTCCATCCCTATCTGGGAAAGCTCTTTGCACTGCTGTGTCATTGCAGAAGCATTCTAAAGACGGCCATCCTCAAACGTCCCCTTTGACTTTAACTCTCTTGTCCATGTCCATCTGCTGCGCCAAGGATTGTGGGACAGAGTAATGAGACATACCATGTATTGGGACATTCAGAATACTTCCCTTGCGTACTAAATAATGTTGTTGTACGCCTATTGGAACGCACAGCAGGTTAATACACCTTTTTACCTGCTCAATAGTTAACCTAAAATGATTAGGATATTTTATTAATTGGAATAGGCTCAGAGTCCAGCCTCTGATCTAAAAGAAGCCCTTTCATATTCATAGTCTGTTTTTCCTTTTCTCCACATAAGCTGAGATAAATGAGGATAAAAAAGGAGCCTCTCTCGCTGTTTTCCCTCTAATCCCGTCTGTTATTCATTCCCGGGCTGCTCCTGACAAAGCCCTTGACGGAACACACATTACTGGGAACCCCTTCATGAACAGACTGAGAGGGTGGATAATTCCCTGGACACTGACGGGACAGCCCAGACGCGGTGGATAACAACATATGAGCACGGGGTCCCCGACACGCCCCTCCGGAGGAAAGCCACTTCCTGTCCTCCCCGTGGCGCAGGCGGCCCGTTTGAGGCGGCCTCTGGCTGCAGGTCTGGGTCGGCTGATGTTGTGTCTGGGATACATCTTTGGTCTGTGTGGGTCAGCGGACCCTTTTACCCGCCTCCACCATTTGCTTTGTGTTGGACGAGACTGGGCCCCTCTCTAATCCCACAAAAAGCGAGGGGCCACTTTCCAGTCCATCGATCCCTCTTCATCGGGTCCCTTAAAGGCCATTAAAAGATGTTAATCCAGCGTGTGTCTCTGTCTGGATCGATTGTGGACAAAAGCACTGCTGGAAGCTGTCTGGACATTCACTCTCACATGTGCTGTGAGCTCTACCTGTACGCCGTTATGATCATGAGAAATACAAACGTCTGCTCCTTGGAAGTAACAAGGGTCTATGGGGTATATGCAAAATTCTAATATCAAAGGTAAATACTCATTAAAAAAAAACGAAAATCGATTTCTTCTGTATAAATAAATTATACACAAAATACCAGAAAATTGTAAGGAAAGTGACTTGATTTTTTTTTATTTATATTGGAAGAAGGAATAATAATCTCTGACGACTACGAGCATAGAATTAAGCAATATAATGATATCCATTATGAGACTTGTTGTGAAATATATATACACTTGTGATTTCAGGTAAATTCAAAGACCGATACATTTGACCTGAGTACATTTCCGAATACCTCGATTCTTATTTGACTTCAGATCTGACTTTTTTATCAAGTCAGTAGGCCCTCAGAATACTTTCTCTTCTCTACGTTCTCTCTTATAGGTCTATATGTATGCTGTACACGATGTTCAAACCTTTGACCTAAATTATTGAGTTTGCTGCAGATGAATTCTGGTGATAAAAAATTAAATTTTCAAATCTCAAGATAATGAGATTAAAAAAGTGTTTCAATCCGTTTAGGGATTGCTGAGCGTCACTATCTCAATGAGGTCTCCAAAATATTGAGCCGTTTTCTTCAGCAGAATGTGAGATTAGCCGTAGACAAAAACAAAGCTGCACACACACCCACAGACTCACAAAGTCAAACAAAAACAACCTCTACTGTGGCGTTTGCCTGGCTGAGATAATACAGCTCAGGCTTTTGCACTTTACTAGCATGAGTCTACAACATTCACATTCAACAGAGAAATCTGTTACGTTTCAAAAGGATCAAGTTAAGCAAATTCTTTTCTAATTATATTTCCATGTGAAACCAAAACTCAACTTGTCTTTTATTAAATATGTGTTTGTAGTTTAAACAATACCGTAACAGAAGCAACCTACCTATAATAAGCCAGGCCTTTTGTTGGGTTTTTGTTAAATCTTTTTTATCTGCTAACTGCTTGTAAAACGCATCCATTGTGCTCTAATTAGTGCATAAAAAAGAGGATGGAATTAACCCTAACAAAAAAACACCCATACACACACACACACACCTACAACCACCATATATAGATTTTCACTGTATACGATTGTCAGATGATACGTCGTGGAACGTTTCAAAAAATGTCTGCTTCAACCGCTCAGATTTTGCCATCAGCTGCTCAAAGATCCACCTAAGAATATATAAAGTGTGTACTGCGTGTTGAATGACATCGCTCATCTGCCGCTGCATCAAATGTCTCTGTTCATGTCATAAATAGGCTGTGGGCAGAGCTCTGAGACTCAGCTGGGACTGTTTGAAGCAAGGGAAGGGGTCACTGAGTGTTTTATCTGGGGACACAACGATTTGAGGCTAGCAGACCTTTCAAGGGTCTTTTTTTAAAACGCAGATAAGAGCTTTGGCAAGTGGCTGGAGAGGAGCACTCAAAACAAGCCCTGGAACCGCAAACCTCACCAGACACCAGATTGTGGAATACTTTATTTCCACCAAACCTTCAAAAGTAGTTTTCAGTCACATGTTTCCTGACATCCAGCTCTTCTTTCCCTATTCTACAGTCTCCGGAGTGTGTTATCGGAGTGTAACAGTGAGGCTGCTCTTCTCCACTGGTCATCAGTGAAAATATCCGTCTCCATTAAAGGAAGAGCACATTTGCTATTAGAGGACTAATGAGCGAAGACTGCTCTATCAGCAGTCGGCACTATCAGCAGGTCCTCCAGTAGAGGAAGGCTAAGGTCTCTCGGTTTTAAAATGGATCCCAAAGACAAGCCAAGTGACTTATGTCAAGTGGACATCCTTATCTATGAAAGATGAGGCGGCTCTCTCTCGCGATGGCCCCAGTACTCTCAAGGCAGCCAGGCAGAGAGCAGGCTACCATCATAGAGGAGAGGCGCTCTGATTTTTTGTTTCCAGAGTTGAGAATTAAAACCAGGCGACAGTGTGGATGAGGCCGGGTTGGGAAGCTCCGATCAGGTCTTCCGCAAACAGGTTTACGATGTAAAGTCAAGCAGGGAAGAAGTGAATCGGACCAGAGCAGACTGCTCTTCTCCAGGCAGCTCAAAGCAGCCGGCAGCCACGGACCGCCATGACGGAGTGGACACTGCTCAAGAGACTCCTGGACGCTGTGCACCAACACTCCACCATGATCGGTCGCCTGTGGCTCACCGTCATGGTCATTTTCCGGCTGCTCATCGTTGCTGTGGCCACTGAGGACGTGTACACCGACGAACAGGAGATGTTTGTGTGCAACACGCTGCAGCCGGGATGCTCCACCGTCTGCTACGACGCCTTTGCGCCAATCTCGCAACCTCGCTTCTGGGTCTTCCACATCATCAGCGTCTCCACGCCATCCCTCTGCTTCATCATCTACACGTGGCACAACCTGTCCAAGCTGCCCCACAATGGCACCCAGAGGCAACGGCTGGGACAAGGAGGTATCCCAAGGCCGGGAGGCCCGGATGTCGGGCAAGGCAGTGGACGCGAGGTGTACGATCGGAGCTGTGACTCAGACAGCTGCTCAATTCGCTCCCATAAGCACTTGGGTCACAGTTTGGCGGATGTGCTAGAGGGCGTTACAGCTCACAACCTCCGGAGGGGAGACCACAACAAAGCGATGTCCTTGAGTCCTGCTCGAGGTTACGCCGTCCTAGAGGCGACTCAAGAGGCCTCTGGAGGCGTTCTGTCTAAATGTTACATCTTCCATGTGTGTTTGCGGGCTGTTCTGGAGGTGAGTTTTGTGGTGGCCCAGTGGAAGCTGTTTGGCTTCCAGGTACCTGTCCATTTCCTTTGTACGTCTGTCCCCTGCAGCCAGCCGGTGGACTGCTACGTCTCCAGGCCCACGGAGAAGACCATTTTCTTGCTCTTCATGTTTTGTGTGGGGATTTTCTGCATCCTGCTCAACCTGCTGGAGCTCAACCACTTGGGCTGGAAGAAGATCAGACAGTCTGTGAGGCTGAAGGAGAGGGCGTCCTGGGGAGGCTGTCCAGGTATGAAAGGGGGGTATGAAACCTTCCCCCCAGACAGCCCCTGTCTCACAACCTCGTTAGGCTACAGGGACGTGACCAGCACCACTTCCCTGCCCACTTTGGACCTGGTGGTGGGGCACCAGCCTGACTGGACCTGCGCTGTGAACTGTGGCAGGATGAGGGAGCATGAGGAGGTCAGAGAGACGAGACCAGATCAAACAAAGTCACAGGACTCCCATAAAGGAGAGAGGCAGCCTCTGAAGAGTAAGACGGCGATCAGAGAGTACAAACAGAGGAGTGCTGAGGTCTGGATATAGGCTACAACCTTTGCTGTAGTGTGACTCGTGGATCTCACTTTGGAGCTTAAAGGGTCCCCAACAACATGTAATAGTTCACATTGTAGATTCATCCAATTTTTTTTTAAATTTAAGGCTCTTTATTCAACGCAAAGTACTTCTAAGTAAAATTGTTTGTTGGCATATTCATCCAGAACCAGGACATTTTTGTGAAATGTTAAAAGTAAATAAAAATGGCGATTTTTTATTGCGTACAATAAACTAATTTCTTTTGAATAGATACAAGTTGTAACAGAAGTTAATATTTCCGAGGTAGGATGCAGTCTAGCTATGCAATTAATATCACAGAGGAAGGACTCTATGGCACTAAACAGATCATTTTAAATGATTGTCCAGTAGACTACTGGTTACATGTGACCATACAGCTATAACAGGGGACAAAAGTTGACATGTAATTCGCCCCTCTCTCTCTGGCTGTCAGACATGTTCTGTATATCTTCTACGTAATCCGTCAAAGAAAGATACAAATGCGGGTTGAATCCATTCCTGGGTAGTTTCAGATTTGAAGTGAGGTTTTCTATGTCGAGTAGGGATCCTCCCGGTGAAACGTATGATATAAATCGTTGTAATTGGATTCATTGTCTGAATAAAGGTCTGTCCTATTCATTAACCTGTAACATGTAGCGCTACTAGGAAAAAAATCACCTGCAACCCAGTGTCTTGAAACTATCACAACCGTTGTTGTTGAGTGGAAACCCCCAAATGCTCTTTCCAAAAATAACTGCATGTCAATGCTGGGTGTCCTGAAAACATTAAAATAGCAACATTAATACTGATAACCGTGTGTGGGTATTTAATGATTTAATAGACTCAAAATCCACGTGGATATGTCCACAATGCGTAGGGACAATTAAAGGCAGGGTACTACAGAGATACAAATAAATACACATGATGAAATACATATGATGCTGATTGAAGGCATTGACCACAATGCTGCTCCACCTCATCTCAAGTTTCATTACTTGAATCATCATTTGAGTGTTACCTTTGATTAGCTCTCAAAGGCATGGAGGTAAAATTACACAGTTAATAGGTTACTCAGTAAGAAAAGTGCAATAGTTAACTGCATTTCCATAAAGCAACCAGGTGGCAAACCACTAAATGTTGAATAACCGCAAAACAATGATGTGACACACAAGGTCACTGAGGTTCATACAACTAGAATATGAGCAGAAACAACATCAAATACAGTTTCCTGCCGTCATTTGACGAGAACAAAATAAATGATTAAGTTGTGATGGGCAACAATGAAAGTTCCATAAAGTGTGCTAGCCGGGAGGAGAGTGAATGAAGCTTTAAGGACGGATGTCTGGCCTGTTAGCTAGCTAGCAAGGTAGCGTGATGTTTGCCATCGCCCCACGGTCAGGATCCTTACCTGTAACCAGCGTACCACTCATGCTACGTAGCATGAGTGCACGGTGGAATTAGCAAGCTAGCTAATCAGCCACACGTCCACTAATTGGACCAACTAACTGGCTAAGAGTGTGTGTGGATGGAGCTTGACGTTCTTTAAGTTCACTCATTCACTCCGTGTCTCCAGGCTTCGTGCTACGCTGCTCAATTCAGTCAAGACTGCAAAACCTGGGGACGTCCATCGAGTCATATCGTTTGTTCTGTGGGTCCAACACCAATGTTGGGTAATAAGGGAACCCAAAAGTGACTTTGTCACCAGTTCATCCTCCATGTGTGGCTCTATGCCGGCTGGCTCTTTCACATCAAACTGACAATGTGTCACGGCAGAAATGAAATACTCTTGATGCCACACATCAAAAAGAATACAAATTTAGATAAATCTTGGTCATATCGTGTGATTGACAGATCAAGCCACACACAAATAAACAAACGCACGTCAATGGTGGCTCCATGTGTACTTGTCTTTATTTATGCAATATATCAATAAATTCATTTACAACATCTATAAAACACCTTTTGCATACATTATGCTACTGAAAGAAATGAAACACAGAGCTGTGCAACCAGTTTGCTTTGCTTTTTAACAGTTTGTACAATGAAGACTGAAGAGAATACTGCGGTACAGTGACAAATGGGCCTCAATAGTCAGTTGTTTTCAGTCTTAAATCAAAGCGAAACACTTTGGAAGGGAAAGTTAGTAAAGATGATTAGTTTTGTGATGGTTTCGTCTTGCACTAGTACTAACGTTTTAGTCTTCTTCCCTGTTAAATTAAACCTCTGGATGCACATTCCTGTGATCCATTTCTTTTTGCTGTGTTGCAGATGGCAAAATGTGCTCAGACATTCCGAGTGTTTAAAATCCACAATGTCAAATCAAAAAGTCATTAGAGCTACCAGTAAGTATCCTGTGTGTTTAGTTTATCTCTATATAAAGTTGGTCCACAGCACATTAAAAAGACAAAACTTAACAAACCTATCGAGTACATAATGGAACAGATACCCAATTAAAATACAATCTGGAGGGAAGATGTTTCTAAAAAGCACTAATTCCACTTCAAAGTGTCACTCAAAGCTCACTTCTACTTTGCCTTTTTCTTAAAGCTATGATAGAAATGTCCTGCAACTGTATCATACTAAAAGCTTACCAGGAACTGTAGATTAGACAACAAGGGGGTGTCTGACTATAATATGATCAAATTAAATTTTCTAATAAATAAATGTACAGTTGAGGTAATTACAAAGGCCATGGCCTCTCTTTGACAATTTAGGGGTTCTTTGTCTCTTTCCCCCTTTTGTCTGATGGCTCAATATTGTGACAATTACTGAGGCTACGAAGGTGCTCAATCCTCAACCCTGATGGGACGTCCTAGTTCATCAGCATGGCCACACAGTTTGTTACTAGCTAATGAAGAGAGCTGCAAGGAGTTTCACAAGGTAATCTATTGGCTCATTGTTATCTATACAAAAGGTAATTGAGATAGTGGATTCAATATAGTGCAGACCAAACAACAAGTGTGTTACACAAATAGAAGTATCTGTCACTTTGACGTACACACACACACATTATATATGTATATATATATATATATATATATATATATATACACATACATACATACATATACATATATATGCTATGGCGGTGATTCTATCATTGTTGTAAAAAAAAGTGCAACTCTGAAGAAAAAGAGGAACAGAATGTGAACAAAGATAAAGGTGCATGTCTATGAACTTGTGCGGAGTCTAAAGCTTCAGTGCATTAGAAAGGACATTTTAAAAAAGCGCTTTCATTCGGTTTCAGTATGACAAAGCGCTCCTCCCAGTCTGACCAAGAGGGGGCGCTACAGTCCATACATGTCCCAATAAGACAAAGGGAGGGAGAGGAGAGTTCACTTCAGTTCCTCATCGTAAAAGCATGTCGTCTGGACGAGATTATATATATATATATATATATATATATATATATATATATATATATATATATATATATATATATATATATATAAATAAATCGACAATTTAGGGGTTATTTTTGTAATTTAAGCCATCATTTCTGTTTCTACCCGACACGGGAAGAAACAGACTGGGCCTAAAGACATTGAAGCAGTTTTTATAGCTGTTGTTCTTTGGGAGCAGGAAAAAACCTCACATTCAACTAATGTCCTTATTAACTAACGTCCTAATAACAGAAGTCACACTTCCAATAAAAACAAGAAACGTGCTGGCCATCATCTGGAGTCTGGTTTCAGCTTTAATTTGAAATCCTTTTAGCTCAAGGAATCTACTTATTTTACTTCTGCTGAAAATCTCCCCCCTGGAGGTAAATCCTTCTAACAGAGACAGCTCTAAAACCATCACATAGTCGGTCCCCATGTGGCAGATATCACACCGAGTCGCCTAATGAGGGGTCCTCAGGGCTTAAAGAATACTCTGTTATTTTATGGACGGAAACAAAGCTCTTAGTGGGTTGAAAATGTCCTTAAACTTTGGTAAGACTTCACCGGGAAACCATAAGCGTTAAAAAAAAAGAACAACGCACCACATGAAATACAAAGTATAAAAAAACTCCAAAGTCTGTGCAGTGAGCAGTGTTTTCTAGGGAGAGAAAATGTAAAAGAAAAATATTTAAAGAGGGTCACTTCACACAAATCCCATTTGCTAAGCCACCTCTTTAATTCTCTAGTAGAGAACGATGGATCTTAAAAACAATCCAAACGAAAAACGCGGTCCAGTGATTCCAGTGGCAATGGAGCGAGAAAGTCGCCACGTCGGATCATTACGAACTTCCTTATTGGTCATTGGCTCATTTCCGTGCAGCAGGCAGCTCCACAGGTGTCACTTTTTCTCTATTTGAGGTGATATATCAGTCGCTGTCGGGATGTCAAGACAATTTCAACAGATATTTAAAAAGATGATATAAAATACATTAATTTGCACTGTTGACAAACAAACAACTGGCTGGATTCATTTGGGAGAAACAACTCTTTAAACATTATTCATCTGACTTTGTTCATACTTGGACCCTAGTGGCTCTTCAGCTAGCGATGATACGAGACATCCGGGACCCCCGTCTTTTTCTGGGGTGGTTACTGTGTGAAGGATGGAAAACACCCTGAAATGAGTACAACGGTCCTTTCGAGAGTATAAAGCCAATGAAAGCATGTCATCTGTTTGTAGTGGTCAGCAGTGTGGATTACAGCGTCTTTCCCCGTGGCCACACCCAGAGGACACGAAGGGGCCCCAGCAGGCCGGGCCCCGCTTCAACGCCTGCTTTTCAGTCGCTCTATTAGGTTCGTGAATATCAACGAAGAAAACGATTCAATCAGTGAAATTTGATCCCAAGTCTCGTCGGGACCGAACAACCACCTCAGAAGACAGACAGACAGTCTCCTCCCCGGGATGCTCCGGGGGCCGAGGCCCCGTGTTCACTGGGGCAGGGGGACGAGGACCTCCACGTAGTTGATGGGGAAGAAGCCGGACTCGCCGCTGATCATGCCCTCGTACCAGTTGTCGTCGATGCGGTTGGTGAGGATGATGACGTCGCCCTCCTTGAAGCCCAGCTCGCCCTCGTTCTCGGGCTCAAAGTCGTAGAGGGAGCGGCAGCACGGCTGGTCCAGCGGCTCGCCCGCTGCGCCACAGGAAGAGACCGCAGCGCGTTTAGGAGGGCGATGGGCACCGTCACAAATGTTAGAAACACAAACATGAGCGAATTGTTTCGCATTTCACCACGACCACTGAGCGACCCCCCACTCTGCTGATGAAAGACGGTAAGATGGATTGGAGGGTGGACAAGAAAATAGAACTTGAGTGGATGGGGTTATGCTAACTAGTCAGTACATCTCCATGACAACTGAGAAAGTCCATACATTCACGATTGTGAATGACCGTTAAACTCTTTGTTTGGTTTGTTTTTTTCATCTGACAAACCTGAAGACCCTCACATCGGACGGGTTGAAAGCAGTAGAAAGAGTCGGTGTGTGTTACTCACGATGAATATTGCCATTGATGGTGGGGCTGTCAGGCCATGACAGTGGAACAGATGTTATATGAGCAGCTGGGTGAGATGTGAAGACAAATGAAGACGTGTTTGAGCACAAAACAATGCGCACACACACACACACACACACACACACAGTTGTGTCTGACTTCTACCACTAGAGGGCGGCAGCGTTTGTTAGAACGCCGTCACCAAAGTGAACAGCGCGCATCAATCTTTCACATAACTGCAAAGCCACAACAGCGCCGACCGCGTGACGCTGGAGTTTAATGTTGATGCAAAAACAAGGATGAATAAGCAGTTCATTTACCAAGAAACAACTAATTTATATTTAATGCTATAATAGCCACATTACGTGATTAATCATCATAACCTTCAACTGTCTTATTATGTGCCTTTTGTTATAAGCCATTTGACTTTGGTGAGGGAAGATGAATATCATTTGTATGTATAAAGGAATACCTACTTTTACCATTCATTGTGGGGTTGATCTGCATATCTGTTTAGGATGATAGAAAAAAAAAAAAAAATGTAGCGACATGATGCCAAAGCAAAGCAAGAAAGTGACTGAGGTTACACAGCGAGAAGAGAGACGCAGTGAGCCGGTACCGGAGGCTCTGAGCGAGGAGCTGAAGGACAGGCCGTTGTGCTGACCCGAGTCCACGGGCTGCATGCTGCTCCTGATGGACTTCTGGTGAAAGTCCCTCCTGGGCCGGCTGCTGGCTGTGGATATCCTGCGGGACGGGAGGGTATGAGGGGGAGAAAGAACACACACACACACACACACGTCATTCCTTTGAACTCACACAGTCAGTCTGGTGAGCGCGAGTCATGCACTCACAGATCGCATCATTATTCTCCCTACTAGTCTCAATATATGAATCACCTCTGTGTACAGACTGTGTACACATGAGTATGTTGTGAGTTTGGGTTGTACAGAGTGTATTGAATTGAGAGAGAATGAACGTGTTTAGTTGTGTGCGCTGTAGAGGATCACTGCTGCCTCTGGAGGCCAAAGTCAGAATTACAAAAACACACATTAATTAGTGTGCACCTCTTCTTGCTGTCCCACACTTCTCTCCTCACCCAGGAACTAAACGATGAAGCTTGTTTGTTTGATCTAATTACCGGTTTCCATATTTTAATCTTCGTCACAGAATGAGTGGAAATACAAAGCGGCTGATCGGCAAATTGAGGTCGCTCTCCTCACCTCTTCTGCAGCTTTCCACTGAGCTCCTGCAGGATGTCACGTGACTGCCTGTGGTACTCCGCGGCCGCCTGGATCAGCGCCAGCAGCTGTCTCACCTGCTCCACCTATTGGCCACAATAACACACACATCCTTAGGTAAGGATCTGACTTTGTGTCTTCTGATGATTACGACATAATAATAATGCCTGTGGTCTAACTGAACAGCCGGGTCGCGTGGTTGAACATGTTAATCCAGTCAGCCTGACTTATTGATCATTTATCGGACGGTTGTCCTTCCACCTGACGCGCTGCTGCTCGCGTGTCGATAAACGCACGCCGCTGCCCGCGGCGCCGACGTAGCAAACCGAGCAGACTGCTGTTCCCAACGGACGGAAGGCGCCTGCTCTTCATTCCTCTCTTACGTCATTCTCCAGGAAGTTGAACATGCTCCGCTCCGCCAGCTCTCTGCTCTCGTCGAACTTCTCCACGGCCTGCCGGATCTCCTCGTCGGGGATTTTCCCCTGACGCTTCTTCTTGTAGTCAAAGTCCAACCGACGGCCCTCCATCTTCTTGAGGTGGTGCTGCAAACACGGGGAGGGACGAGTCAACACAGCGCATGGTGGAAGTTCAGTCCCGTTATTCCTCACCAAACCTGCGTGGCACTACACAAGACACTAGCCCGGGACACCTCCTGTACCCATGGTAACAAGCACGGGACTGCAGAGCTTCTACCGGATTAATCGGTTTGTACCGTGATCTCTTTGAGGTCCTTGTCCTGTACATTCTGCAGAGGGTCGATGAAGTTCTGCTTGACACCGATGTCCAGGGCGTCCTTCACGTCCGCCATCTGCCTCATGGCCTCGCCCATTTCCACCAGAGCACAGCCTGCAGGACAGATGGACACGGTTAACCTAAAAAAGGAAACCTAAGGAAATCTCACAGCGCGCGGAACGCGAGAAGCGCTACCAAACACGGAGTCCTCTCCCAGCTCGTGGCCGTGGCGCAGCATGCAGTCTCCCAGCAGGCCTTCCGTCTGAGGGTAGCCAGTGGGCGACACCTGACCTCGCATCTTAGACACTGTGTTCAGCATGTTCAGTTTGGCTCGAGAGGCTGTGGAGGAGGACAAATGATGCACAGTAACCTTAGCGGCAGATGCAGTAGGTGTACATTCTTTAACAGAAGCCACCCGTTACGTCGTACCTGGGTTCGGCTGGAGGTATTCTGTTGTTTTTGACAAGAGGTCGAACACGGACTTGTTGGTCACTTCAATCTTCTAAAAAGGCGCAAGACAAGAATGTTTAAAAAAAGATGCTGCATAATGATGACTAAACTTTTACTTCATCAGTTAAAATGAACAAGATTCATTTCAGCTAGTGATTATATAATGTCTCAGATGTGGAGATCATTTAGACATAACGCTGTGTCTCGTCCTCGTACTTATGGCTCACGTTTGATGACTTCTAGAACTTATCCTGTAATACTTCATCACAAAACCAGCTTAAGATACTTTGGATTCCTCACAAGGACACTATCACTAATTTCCATCCATGATGAGACACCTGGACTGAACTCACCCTCTCCATCTCCATGAAGTCTTCATCCAGCTTGGTCCCCTCCGCCCCGCTGATCTTCTCACTGAGCAGCTGCACGAGGACAGCAGAGAGAGAGAGAGAGAGAGCTAAAGGACTGGGTGTGTAGTACCAAGTGACAGGAGGAGGGATTGTGAGTTTGTTCCGCCCGTATACGCAGTCTACACGTCCACATTTAGAACGCGCAACTTCAGCAGAGTGTCCAGGTTCTGCAGGAGCTCCTCCTCTCTTCAGGCCCTCTATTACGCTGTCATGTCTCGTGCCGCCTGCTCTTAGGTGACAGGAACAAAACCTATGTATTCAAACCAGGAGGCAGCCTCTCGTTCTGAAGACTACGGCTGGAAGTGTCTTAAACTTGTATTCCCTCTGCTCTGCAATGGTTCCGCCATCTGTGTTGATGTGTCCTTGACACTTGACGGTATGAGAATGGTGTCATGTTAGTTACTGATAGGCAGGTAACTCGGGTGAAAAGGATGAAATGCAGTGTAAAAGCACTCGGGGTGGTTGGAAGACCAGATTAAGAGATGTACAAGTAAAGTCCATCTACTATTTGCCGTACACCAGGGGGCGACTCCTCCGATGCAAAAACTAGTCTGGTTGAGAAAATGACTCACCTTCCCTCTTGATCAATTCCCTCAGTAAACATTGTAAACATGAGTTTATGGCCTTAATATCTAGTTTCAAGTCTTCTTCGATACAGAGTGGTGTTCAGTTCCGTTTAGCGTCAAAGAAACCACAAAGCAGGGGGGGTTTAGGGCGGGGCTACTGTGATTGACGCGTATAGGGAGTCTCTACGTCACTCCTCCGTATTCTCCATGTGGCGACTTCTGTTCATTGGTTATATGGTTTCAAACATGTCATTAACAAGGTAGTATTGTAGAGATAAGAAGACCCAGTTGATGACCAGTGACCTGTGATGCACATGATTATTATTGCGAGGGAGACATTTGTTATTTTCCTTTAGTTCTTTAGAAAAACAGTCGCCTCTGTTAAAACAATGGTATTATGGCCTCACAGTAATAACAGCAGTAATACGCTGATCCCTGCACTGTTCAAAATGTTTGACAAACAGAGTAATGGAACTTTGATACCATTCCTCTGGTAGATTTAAAGAGGATTAAAATTCTCTGAGTAAACATAGTGGACGAATACAGAAAGATTTAGGGCAGTCGGCCAGTCGGGAAGGAACCTCTAAATGCAGGTCAGTCTGTCCAATACTGAATAAATGCATTGCTTAGCTTGATATTCCATACGCTTTACGTTTCCATGAAATGGCTGGCAGACTGCGGTTTGTTTCCTGTAAAAACTGAGAAAGACAGAACGCCGAAGGTAGGTTGTCCATGGGGGTCTCACCCCGGGACATTCAGCTCACCCAATGAGACAAGTCACACTCGGAAGCTAGCCTTACAACCCCTCCGAGTCATCGGGTCAAAAAGGACATGCTGGGTGTGAGTGACACATGGTGACAGAAACCCGCTTGTCTCTCAAACCCGACAACCAACCAAGGGTCGTACTGTAGTTTGTTGCGTTGCTCATTTCTTTAAGTGACAGCTTTAACATGCTGGACTCACCAGCTTTCGTTGTTGCCTAAACATAAAATAGGAGTTGGCATTATTAGCCACCTTTTAATTAAGATTTTATAATACATATTTTTATAATATGGATGAAATCCAGCGTTCTGATTGGCTGAGAGTGAGTCACGAGGGCCACATTATTGAGCGATAATGTACAGTACCTGTTCACATTGACCCGACCGTTCTGTATCACTGCGCACTCAAAGTTACAGGTTCAATTTTGCGCATTTTAGCTTTTAACTCGGTGGCAATCGGCAAAATAAGACCCTGAAATCCCACAAATAATCGGTTTCAGGCAATGTGAGCTTTCGCAACTGGACAATTAAAGGTGGACGTCATGAGCGATGTGAATAAATGAGATGGTGCGGGACCCAATGCTGTTTGCATGCACGTATAGGGACTATTTTCTCTAGACTACTGAAAATGAGATACACAACGTTTGTGTATCTCATTTGCAGATGATCTGCATCAACTGGTGGCCTGTTGGTCTGTTCTGGTTTGCTGGACCTTCGGGCAGATTCCCTCGACAGATGCAATGTGACGTCATTCTGTGTGTCTCAAGTTACGCCAGCATGTGGCCCGTCTCAGCTTCCAGAGATGACCCCTAACCATTCTATGATGTGCTTGGACTGCTGGAGCCTCTCTTACGTGGGGCGCTCTCCAAAGCCTGCGCGGGCAGAAATGCATTTGGTGACGGGTCAATGTCTCATGAAAGTATTAGTGGTTTCATCAGCGCGCAGCTACTCACATATTCTTTGTCTAAAAGCCAATGTTGAGCCTCTAATGGTGTTTGATGATTGATTGTGATAAGAGCTTTACACACACACACACACACAACACTGCGCTCCTAAACAGTGGATCATGTCTTTCAGCATACCTCCTGGTTCCAACCCGACGCTTGGCGAATGAAGATGCTGAGCTGGATGGTTGGGGTGTGTGAGAGGAGCCGGGCGGGACCGCTGGGTGTCGGTAAATGACAGGAGTTATGGGCACCAAATGGGTCACATGGATAAAATTAGCAGACTGAGGGAGCGGGGAAGTGAACCGGCGCCTTTCTAGGACAGCGTGCGGAGAGCAGGAAGGTACCAGCGCACGTCCTTTCAGTCTGATCCATCCGCTCATCGGCTGCTCCGTGAACACATGACCCTTTAAGTAATGTAGTTCAATTAACATGAACAATAAAGTACTCAGAAATGCTGTATTCAATCAATGATTAAAAAAGATACTTTAGAGAACCAGTGACCACCAGTCATGTGCAGAAGATCCCAGTAAGCAACAGTATGTAGAAAAAGGCAGTATAATGTGGTGTAGACGATCACAGAAAAGATGAATGAAGAGTAAAGATGAAAGTGTGCAATGAATGGTGTTCTGCTATTGTGAACCATCACTTATATGAAGATACGGGGGTGGGTCGGATTGCTTTTCGCTACTTTGTGACGCGAGGGAACTGGGTTATCTCCGTCAGGAGGTGAGCTCCGTTTTAAATCACACATCAGAGAGGACGCCGGCACCGGGCCTTTGTCCGCAGTCCTTCTTTGATTGCGCGACCTTGTTGTTCTGCTTGTGTGTGCTCCTTCTTCCTGTACTCTGAACACAGGGCTTTACAGGCGGCGCTGGGTGGAGGGGGTCACTCATTTGTTCCATCCTTTCTAGAAACCACAAGGAGAGAACAAGGATCAAGCATCCGTATCGAGGCAGAGCTGTGCGGCGTGCACACCGCTGGACTCCAACCTAAATGGCATCCAGATGTGGATGGTATGTAGTATGATGTTAATCATACAACAACAAATCAAGCTCTTTTCCAGAGCACGTTCACCAAACTAACCTCCCCAACCGTGTCTCTCCTCGGACGTCTTCCCTGCTCGTCCTTTTGTACCCACGCCTTGATGAGGAGATCAGGTCCAGGTGTGTCTCCTGGCACACCTGATCTCACTTCCCCCGATGGAGTGGGTGGAAGAACTCAGGGTGGAATGTAGACTCCCTCCACAAAATACACACTACTGCACTGCTTTTTGTACTCCATTTTTTAATATAATCTATGATCCAGTACTTTATATACTCTAAATCCAGTGCTCCACATATTCTATAATCTACTGCTTTATATATATAGTAAGAAATAATAAGGCTAAACTACCACGGCTCAGTAGACTCGCCAGCATGAACGTCCCTCGCTCCTCTAGTTAGTGACTTTCACATCTCTCAGTAGAGCGATTCAGAATTCATGTCTGTATCCAAACAAATCTTTAGACTGATACATACTGGATACATTATCATGGTTACATGTTGCTATTCTCAAAATGGGACGGGTATTTTTTAATCTGAGCTGGTCTGAGGACGGCCTTCAGACTAAAGGCAGGGCTTACGCAAATAATATCACATGATCTTAGTGTCTGTTCAATAAGGTCGGTCATATGCGAGCAAATAGTAACTTTACTTGACATATTGCGAATGCAGATCGTCAACTTATTATATATACAGCGATCATCACAAATCACTAGAGGTGGCAGAGTAACACTAGTCCGGTATGAACACGGCTTCGCTGTAGTATTCTGGCAAAGCTCAGATACTGTCCCGTTAACATTGTTTTCCCGTGACATCTTTAATTTGTAAAAAAAACTACATTTATTGCTGACAACATACAGCCATATAATGTTAATTATTGGCAGCAGATCAGAGAAGTATTCTCTTGAAGTTGAGTTGACTGAAGCATGAAAAAGAAGTATTAAGTAAATGTATAAAAATGATCTCATTACCAAGGAAGTAATTTGAACATTAGGACCTAAAGCGTGAGATAAAGCCCATTTATTTCTGTAAAACTCATTAATCACACAGTGGAAAAGGTGAAATGGTCTGAGCCTCTTGGTGGTGACTAGACTTTAGATTACAACACTAATAAGAAAGGTTGGGTTTAAAGACGGCGAGGTTAATTTAATTACTGCTATTTCACAGGGTGTTTAAAATTGCCTCAAACTAATTACTTCAATGCAGAGATAACGTAGAGGACGGACTTCTTTTCGTGTCAGCCTCCCTTCACGGTGCATCTTGTGGGAAAGGAGTTCGGAGCAGCAAGAAAAGAACGGCAAAAGCCAGTGAAAAGTGAAAAGAGTGAGACGCTGTGTGACACATTGTCTGTCGCAGATCAGCTGACACATGTTACCGATACCAGGGACAGCGCCACGGAGCCACCATGCACGGCCCACAGGAGGAAACAGCAGCTTCCCTTCAACAACAACAGAAAAGTGGAATCTCTCGAGGCGCTGAATCACTGGCCTACACACACGTACACAGGAACTGTTGCAGAGTGTTTGTGTGTGTATTGTCTTCCCATAGGAGATGCATTGCAGAGGCAGGGAGAGGGTGAACAGGACAGCACTAACCCGGCCAGAGACGTTAGTAAGAGGTGGGTGTAGCAGATACCTAAAAAGAACACAGCTTTCAAAATTCAGCCATCGAGTTGTAGACTGAGAATTCGACAGACCT